TTATCGGGCATATGGGAACATGGAAAGGCTGGGCTGGGGATCGAACGATCGAGTCAGACGTTGATCGGTTCGATGACTTATCTCCTCTCATTTGCCGGGGCACGCAACGATAGCCGCGTGTTTCCTGATCGAATAGCCGCGGTGCTCGATCAGAGAGGGAAGATGGCCGGTCGCTCGAAACGACCGGCAACATTTACGAGAAAGGGATGAAGTTCCCGTGTAAGTAACTAGTCTGTCGACTGCCGGCGACCACACGGCCGCACACTTGTCGGGAAAGGAGATGCGCAACTCGGTGTAATGAACCTGGGAAACCGGTTACATCCGCGCGTGTATATATACAGATCGGTTCGCTCTGTACTTACGTTACATTACGCGGGCTGCTGGTATCCGCGATCGAGCCTATTGCACACTCGTTCGAAAGGATTCCTCGTCCACGAATAATTCGATAAGTGTCTCTTTCTGACACGGCCTAATGTGCAAGTTCCTGGGAAAAATGTCGACTATAAATCGCATTGATCGCAAGTGTTTGTGTATTGAAATATGAAAAATTCTAAGTGTAAAATGAGAATTTGTAAATATATATATATATATATTTCGAATTACCAACTGAAAATAGAAAATAAATTTGAAAATATCATTAGAATATATAGTAATTCTTCACCGTCCAAATGGTCGTCCATTTCACTTTGGAGAAATTTTGGGGACAGGGGTGGTTGACGAGCGGAAGAAAAAAAAAAAAAGCGAAACACGTTTGAAATTTCAACTTCTGTTTCTAGCCCAGACACGGGTGCAACACGGGTGCAACATTTATTTTCCGGATACGATCTCCGTATTTTCGTGACGACCATCGAAAGCGCAGGTAATGCAACGGCGCATCCGGCTTGCTCGCTAAATCTATTTTATTCATATTCAATTACCCTCGGCTATGCGTTCGCGCAGTGAAAATAAATTCGCCGCAAATCCCTCGTAACCTACGGGAATAGGGTGCTGAATGATCGCAAACACGCGGAAGAAACTCGCTGAGCGCGAGTTTATCGATATAAAATCCTAAAATATCCCTAGATTAATTCCGAAATAACTCTCTAACAGTTTAGAGAACTGGAATTATTTCTAACCTGTTTTATGATAAGCGACAATTGATGAAACAAACAAACGAAAAATTAAGAAATAAAAGTTTTCGAGAGTAAAACTATCGAGAATTCTCTGTTGAAAAGTATCTCCTACGAGTGAATACTGCGATCAGAGCGACAGAACAGTAAAAGTTCAACGGTAAAGCAGTTACGAAAAAAAATAACTTTGAAAAGAACGACACTGGAGAATTTTATTCTCGAACGTGTTAAAATGAATTTATATCGGATATATAATAACTTTCGATCTCGTACGAAGATCGAATAATCGTCGAATCACTCTATCCTCCAAATTCCTCCAAACAAAAAAATCCCTAAATTAAAAATTCTCGACAATCGCCTCGAATCTTCGTTTCCCGTTTCCGACGAGAAATTCCTTGAATGAACGACGTGTTTCATTCTAAGAAATAGGAAGGATGGGGTGCTCGAGGTAGCGCGGCAGGGGGTGCAGTTTCAACGGGGAAAGAGAAAAACGAGAGAGAAAAAAAGAGAGAGAGAAAGAGAGAGAGAGAGAGAGAGAGAGAGAGAGAGAGAGAGAGAGAGCTAGAGAAAGAAAGAAAAACACCGAGATTCAATTACCGCGGGTCGAAAGCGGCAAGAGCGGAACTTCCGGTCGCCAGAATCTTCCGGCTCGGCATAAAAGGAAGAATAAAGAAAGGGGGGAGGGAGAGAAGGTGAGAGAGGGGTGAGAAGAAAGCTCAAGGGGAGAGGTACGTACGTGTCTGAAGGGTTGGAACAGGGGGAGGGGAGAAGGGGATTTGGGGGGTTTAGCGCGAAAAGTAGCAGAGAGCTGGGATGGCAGAAGAGGTGGGTGGGATTGGTAAGAGGGAGGGTTGAAGAAAACACATAATAGGGTGGGGCGCTTTGCTGCCGCTTTTGAATCGATCCAACGCCGGCTACAGCTGGAGTCTCATCCCACACCGGTTCAGCGGCCAGCGGTTCTCATTCTTCAACCCTCTCCCTCCCCCTCCCCTCCCCCGCTTACCTCCATTATCACCCGCGGAGGAGGATATTATACAGAGAGAGAGGAAGCAGCGGAGGATTTCGATTGGATTTGGATTAATCGGCTAAGAAGCTAAGTTAGTAACTGCCACTTTCGCAAGTGGTAAACTGGGTCGTGATACACGTATGAATCGGGGATGAATCTGTCTGTGTGTCGCGTGCGTGCGCGTGTGTCGAGCACGGATGAACGAGCTTTGAGTACACTCGTTGGACACTCCTCCCCTCCCTCAAATACACGGATGGTTATTAATCCGTCCTCCGTTGTCCTGAGCCTGAATTCTATAATTCGGCCGAACGATGAATCGAAATTGCACAGCCGTTTATCAAAAACCAAGGGGATTTGCCGGGGGATCGTATCTCGCCGATTAACTTGCAAACGATCGGCTAATTCCACGTTATTCCGCTTCCGATCGATCTCGAATTTGCTCACCCGTGGCGAGCGTACAAAGTCGAAGCTCTCAAAGAGCTAGGTTAAAAGTCGAATCTCTTCCGTTCCGTTTCGAATCCACGAACGCGATGACGCGAGAATGCGAATTTTGTTTGCGGTTGGACGAGGGAGGGAAAAACCTGTGCTTCCTCGCTTTCGAGGAACTGGGTAAGCGTTACAGGTGTTATCGATCAATTCGCGAGTTGCAACAGCTACTACCCTAGCGAACGTCGAGACAAATTTGAAAGGAAATTTGTAGCACGCATTGACAAATCGAGCCGCGATTATTCTGTAAATGATCTCCTTCTATAATTGTAACTACAATAATTTTCCTCTATGGATATTATTCTACTCACTTATTGTATAATATAGTATCTCAAACACATTGCACGAAACTTGGTCGAGATCGCTAAGAGGTATGGATAAACGGAATTTAAAACAAACGTTTTTCCTTAAAGAGGGAGTTACTTTTGATGAACGAATAGTTGCCTCTTCTTTTTTTTTTTTTTTTTTTTTTCTTCTTCAATGGTCTTCACAATAGGTCGCGAGTCAGCGTTCATTTAGCCAGCTCGCGTGCACGAGAAGAAATAAACCGGTGGTTTAAATTGGACCAGGGAGGCCGCGAGATCATATATAATAAAGACTCACCGTTGTTGTTGCGCAGGATAGAAGCAGGACTCGTTGCCTCGAGAGGGCTGCTGGGTTCTTCCGTGCTTGGCTCCCTCTTCACGCTGAAATGGAAACATCTATTATGTATTCAATCGAATAGAGCGCGGGGGATGGGGGTCGGACGGGTGGTGGAGATCGGTTGAAAGTAGTCCAAGATCGAAGCGAAGCGAAAAAAAAGAAGAGAAAAGAAGAGAAAAGAAAAGAAAATCCGCGAAACCAAGGTCGTTTCAAATCCTTCCGTTTTTGTCCACGGATGCGTATCTTCCTTATCGCGCACGAAGTTTCGAGAGCAGAGGGGAGAGATCCTTTGACTACGGCCCTGACTCCATCCGAGCAATCAGGATTGACCCAGTTTTTAGTTCAATTTGCACGTGGAACGCGCGTTTGCCTTAAGCCAACCGAAATGAAAATGGACCAAAAGGAGAAGGAAGAGAGAGAGAGAGGGAAAGTCGAAGATTAACGCAGGGGACCAATTGTCAGAGTCGAATGGACTATCCGTTGAAGGGAGGAGATCGTGTAATGGTATGTGATTTTAATGCGATTTTCGAGCGTTTTCGATTCGTTTGAGGATGCATTAACGTGGATTAACACGTTTGCTCGACGAGGATAAATATAAAGGATTTTGCTGTGTCTTAAATAAATCGAAAGACCTGTATTAAAAACGTTTGATCAGAGGAAAATAGTGTTTGTACTGAATTTCTAATACTTTAATTTTCTTGATATTTATCTTAATTATATAATACACAGAGGGTAATAGAAGATTCTACGAAATCTAGGATAACAAACTTAGAAAATTGTATATGCGACGACAAATATAAGATGCAATTCTTTTTTTCTTAAATATCCATTAATATGATCATTTCTTAAATTAACTAAACTATTATATCATCGATTTTCCAACGTATAGTAATTATTTCTATTACACTTTAAAATTTTCTACTCGTTTTTAAACGAGTAAATTTAAAAAATATCGTTCCAATTTCGAAAACTAAGATTTCGAAAACTGACGCACAATAGAAGATTAATATCGAGTGCCAATACCATCAACTGTCACGAATTAGACGAATTATCGACTAGATTGGAAAACTCTTGGCGCAAATATTTTCCAGGGGAACGTCTTTGAACGTCTCCCGTTCAAAGAGGATCAGAGTCCATCAATAACCGATAGATCTAAGAGGATGGGACATCGGATCGACACATACACCCCTCTCCCTCCCTCCCTTCCTCCTCCTCCTTTCCTCCCCTGCATCTCTGGAAAGGGAAGCAGCTACCTCTATGAATAGATCTCCTATTTCGGAAGCCGAAGAGTACGCGTTATCGAGCGGCAACCAATACCCCCCGCGACCGCTTTGAGGCGCGACGATGATGACAGAAACCGTACACGATGATGGTGTAGGTGCTGCACCACTATTCCGAGTGTCGTCGATAATAATTGCTCTCCGAGTTTCGAATAGAATGAAGTGGGTCGGCCGAAAATATCCGTACCTAAAAGGTGGTTAAATCACGCGTGATCCGAGCTTCGAATGCGGGACCCGGGAATGAAGGATGGATATGTGATACCAGACAGGGTATGTATAACGATATATGCTGATCATTTCACGGAAAGTTGAAAAAAAAATAAAAAATTGGATAGAAGGAAGTTTTGATTTTAAGTGAAGAAATAAATGTTTAATATGGAGTCGATATTACATTAAGGGTTAAATTGATCTCTCATCGTTGATCGTATTCTTTATCCTAATAAACGTGGATATATCTTTTTTCGTAAAAATGATTTATAAACTTTTGAAAGATGTTAAAAAATGGCCCACTTCAAAAAGCAAATATTCGAAAGGAAATATCCGTAAAATGATTAAATTCTTAATAATTTATTAAGGATGAAAAGGAACGTTAAATTCATTATGTATAAAATGAAAAATAGATAACCGATTTTAAAATATTATTATCTCTAATGAATTTAAATGTTATTAACGAGTTTAAATACATAAAATTGAGATAATAAGAAGATATAAGAAGAAGTGCATAATATCGTATTTCGGTCCCAATTCAAAGATATTGGAGTACAGGTAACCGATACGATATATATATCAAAGCGGAAAAGAGGAGACTCCTGGAAAGGAATTGCTATTACAAAAAA